CATTTCCTGTTTTTTAATTCTTTTCTGAGAGGGTTGTGCTAATGAGGTCCTCTGGGTAGCCTCTCTTTAGCAAATGCGCTTCATTTGTAACAATACTCGATCCAGTCTCCCAGATCTTTGGAATTCGGTGTGAGCAATTTGAATTCGGCGTGGAGATTTAGAATTCGGTGTGGAGATTTAGAATACGGTGTAAGCAATTTGAATTTGGTGTGGGCATTTGGAATTCGGCGTGGAGATTAGAATTCGGTGTGGAGATTTAGAATTCGGTGTGAGCAATTTGAATTTGGTGTGGGCATTTGGAATTCGGCGTAGAATTTTTGAATTCGTTGTGCACTTGTGGGCCACCTTACTCCCGTGATGCAACAGTGTCCCTATAAAAGATAGCCAGTATGCCAGCCTAGCCTGCGGTATTGTGCACGATTTGTAGTGTCAAACGGCGGAGCTGTTAAGAACGGGCTGCGAGAGGCTTCGTTGCCCGTTTTCGTGGCACTGCTACCTTCATTTCCACTCGGCACCTGACCCTAAAAAAACCGCCATGCAACTTTTGAAAATGAACGGAACAAGTACACGCTGCCGCGAGCCGTACTTGACAGGTCTTGCAGGGAAACATATATCTCTAAGCTCTGTCCCTGAACCCTTTCTTCCGCGTCCTACACTTCATCTTAAGAATGATACATCGATCACATCGCGAATGTAGTTGATCGAGACATCATCGTGATGAGGGCAGCAACCAATAGCCCTATGAGTGAGGCTGCACGTGGCCAGCGGTGTAACTTCGTTGGATAAAATTCAACATGGCGCGGTACATGCTGCACTCTTGATATGGCTGCTGCAGTTTTTGGCTGCGGTGAGATCACGGTTTCTTCCAAAGAAATTGCGAACCGGTTTTTTCCAATGTTGAGGAGAGAAGTACTATCGCTTTACAGGCGAATATTTCAAGTAGCAAGGCAGTGGAAAGCTACAACAGGTGCAGATACTGAGGCAGAGAGACGGTACATCCAAGATGAAGCGAGAAAATTATTCCGTAAGAACAAGAATGTGAGTGAGGACTTCTCAGAATTTCTCCTGCCATTATAATCTTCATAATAAAATGTCCAACATTTCGGTTTCTTGGTGAAGGAACTTCGCGATGAAGAGGTTATGACTTGTCGCTTTTTAAACCGAATCAAAGAACATGCTCGTGCACAAGTCCAAAGGCTAAGCCTATCGACTTGAAATTTTAATAGTGAAATTACGGAAGTCATAAAGATGTTCCCTAATTCTGCACTTTTAAAAAATTTCAAATGAAAATTTCGTATCTTACCTGTGAGCCTTTTCCCTTAACCCCTGCCTATTACCTCCTGTAGCCATTAGTTTGAGATTTTTGTTAGTACAATTTCTTGTTTAGATGAAGTCCTTACAAAAGGCAGAAGTTAGAAAATATCTTATTCCCATACTGTCTCTTACAAGATTCAGTACCTGATTACAGATCTCTTTGGTGTGTGCTGTTCATGGATAGATGTTTTTGGCTTGTGTTGCCTCAACCTAACCAGTGACTGGAAGCCAAAAATTATTCTGGTTTTTGCAGATCACTAACACAGAGGAGCTAAAGCTTTGTCTTCATGAGGCCAATGCGCGAGTAGAGATTGGTATGTAACACAGAACTTAGTTTATGTTGCATGCATAGAAGCAGATCAAATGTACCACAATTACACATCCAGTCTGTAGGGGAGAAGGGGTCTGTACAGTGGTGAGAGGGCCTGCTTCTCACTTTTGTGGCCCCAGGTTTGATTTCCAGACCCCATGTCACATGTGGGTTGAGTTTATGTTTGGTTCTTGTCTTTGCTCAAGGGTTTTCCTCTCTGGACCTCTAGTTTTTCTCCTTCCACGAAACCAACTTTCCAAGTTTTCAATTCTACCTGGCAACAGTGGACAAGAAAGGCCACCCACCTGGTGAAACATCCACCAGTAATTCCTTTATTATTTTTATCATTATTAACATATTGATGTATGGTTGACCAACATTTTAGTCTACAGTATGTAGTTGGTCAAGAGGCAGGCATTAGACAGTGTACATCTCAGTTAAGATATCAACTGAGAGTGGTTTATGATTAGTGACTTGATTTATAAAATCTCAAATTCAATTATGATTAAAAAGAAGTACATTTTAAACTGGATCATATTTTTCTTTTTTTTTAGCCCTTCATTATGGAACACCTTATCCCAGAATGGTAAGTGTGGTTTTCATTGGAAGTTTTTTCCATAATACCAAACATGGGCAATGAGGGATGACACCAGTCTTGCTGGAAAGACTGCAATAAGGGTCTTTCTGACACAAAATTGGTGCAGAAAGTCTAATTGAAACAAAAGATAGTTTAATTGCACATGCATGATTTCTAGCCATACATGCCTAAAAGATACTCATCTAGCACTCTTGATAACTTTTTTGGTTGCTCTCTCTCCCCACCCCCTTCACTGCTGCCACACCCTGCCATTTTATCCTATATACCAGTGCTCTTAGGGAATGTTTTTTTGTGGGCACAGTGTAAGTCAGCTAGATGGTTAGTTATTCATTTGGTTAGAAATTCAGTTTAGCTCAGGTACATGATAATAAAATGAAACTGTGTTTAAGGTGATATTTATTCATTATGATTGCTTTTCTAAGTGTTTGTCAAAACCATTTTTACCATGTAAATCAAATTTCACTTAGTGGAAGGAAACACCAATCCTTTTTTCTGCTACTAAGACTGCCCCTTTAATTGTCATGAAATAGTCTCACTTTTGAGCCCCCTTTCTCACCCCAACCCCCCACACCAGAGACAAATCCTTGTAATTAAGTTCACAAATGACAAGTTTGAGTTGCCTTGAGATACTTTTATTAATTCTAACTTGAAACATCATCACTCAGTTGAATGGGGAAATGGCTTGTTTTATACATTATAGATACACATGCCACCATCAGCTGTCCCTAAAACAAATACAAAAGAGCGGAAAACCCAAGAACGAATTAGAAAGCAGGCCAAACCTGTTTACATGCACTCAGATGATGATGTTGATAAATAAACAACTTTGGCATTGGACTTTCAGGGCTAGTGAGCAACGGAGTTAACATGAGTAAATGAGTACACTTGTGACCCTAGTTTGATGCTAGT